GAGTCAACCAAGCCTGAAAAGGATGAAACCAAGAATGACCGAAGTCCAAAACTTCCTTCGACAGCAAACATTGCATGTATTGGCCAAGATCAACCGAAAGCGGTGCTCCTTCAGACTGCATCGGCCAAAATATCCAGTGTTCAAGACCCACAAATTCAGATTAAAGCACGTATCATGTTTGACCTTGGAAGTCAAAGGACATATATATCAGAAAGCCTCAAAGAAAAGTTATCTCTCGAAACTGTTAGATCCAATACATTGATGATTAAGACCTTTGGAAGTACATCGGAACAAATTCAAGAATGCCCTCCAGTTGAATGCATTGTGAACAGTCGTCATGATAATTCAGCCTTATGTATCAATGCATATGTCGTACCTACCATCTGTGCCTCTCTTAATGGGCAGATCATTAACTCTGCGAAGCAAGAGTACACACACCTGAAAAGACTCAGATTGGCAGAAGAAGCAAGAGATGAAGAAGAATTACAGGTTGATGTTTTGATTGGTGCAGACCATTATTGGGACTTTGTATACAAGATTGAGAAAAGAGGTGACCAAGGAAGTCCAGTCGCCACTTACACAGACTCGGATGGGTCGTCAGTGGGCCAGCAGTTGTGATAGAAAGTCGAGCTGCCTCAATTAATCTCAGTTCCACCCATGTTCTTCGTGTTGAGACTGAAATTGAAACCAGAAATAGTGATCTACGAAGCGAAGTAAAGAAATTTTGGGAATTAGAAAGCCTGGGCATCAAGAGTGAAGAAGAAAGTGTCTACCACAAGTTCCTCAAAGATACAGAATTTAAAGGAGAAAGGTATGAAGTCAAATTACCATGGAAAGAGGAAAATGAACTGTTACCTGATAACTACAAGCTAAGTATAAACCGATTGAATTCCCAGCTAAGACGACTCAAAGCGAAGCCAAACGTGTTGGAAGAGTATGATCGAGTCATTAATGAACAACTGAAGACCGGAGTGATAGAGAGAGTCGAAGAGTCAACACCGAAATCCCTTGGAAAGGTACATTACCTGCCACATAGAGAAGTTGTTCGACCTGAAAAGTCCACCACGAAACTAAGAGTGGTATACGATGCATCTGCAAGATCAAATGGACCGTCATTGCTGACTTATATGGTATGCATCAGTTGATAAATGAACCCACACGTGTTACTGAGTCATCTTCGACTATAATCGATCACATTTTTACTAATGCTCCAGATAAGGTTGTTTTCTCTGGTGTTTCACATGTCGGCATTAGTGATCATAGCTTAATTTATGCTTTTCGAAAGCTTTCAACAGGCATTTACAATAAAGGTCATTCTACCGTGACATATAGAAAATTTAAAAACTTTGACCTTGATAGTTTTCGGTCTGACATTTGTGCACAGAATTGGACTGCTGTAAACAACTTTAACGATCCAAATGATATGTGGCGGGTTTGGAAAAACACATTTAATAATGTTGTTGAAAAGCATGCTCCTTTACGCACGAGGCGTGTCAGATCTTCTAAGTCACCGTGGATAACGCCTGAATTAAAACAACATATGCACAAAAGAGATATTCTAAAAGTTAAGGCTATTCGTTCAAAAGATCCTAATGACTGGGCTGCATTTAAGACGTTCCGAAACTATGTAACAAATGAAATTAAACTTGTTAAAGAAACTCATTATCAGAACGCATTTCATCAAAACAAACAAAATATGAAAAAGACTTGGGGAATTGTAAACGAACTTACTTCAAGGAAGCAATTTAGTTCACAAGTCAAGGAAGTTAAAACAAATGGTTCCTTAGTCAGTGAACCTAATGAGTTATCCGAGGTGTTCAATGATCATTTTGCTAGTATAGGCTCTAAGCTTGCTCAGAAAATTCCCTATATTGGGAATGGTGGTGCACAGCTTGATTACTTGCCAAGTCAATCTAATGATAATTTTCGACTAAATACAACTAGTCCGTCGGTGGTTGGTACCCTCTTGTCTAAACCTTGTAAATCTAAAGCCACGGGTTTGGATAAGATATCAGCCAGATTACTTTGCGATTGTTCCGACCTAATAGCCGATTCAATATGTGCAATTTTTAACTGTTCTATTAACTCTGGTACATTCCCCAACGAATGGAAATGCTCAAAAGTCATTCCATTATTTAAAAAGGGAGAGCGTAGGGATTTAAATAACTATCGCCCAATTTCTATAATTCCAGTGGTGGCGAAAGTTTCTGAGAGAATTATTTATGATCAAGTTTATGCCTATCTTATGGATAATAACCTCTTATCTAATTGCCAGTCAGGGTTTCGAACTCTTCATTCCACTGTCACCGCACTTCTTGAGGCTACTAATAACTGGTCTTACAATATTGACCGAGGCAACGTTAATGCCGTTGTTTTCTTAGACCTCAAGAAGGCGTTTGATACTGTTGAGCATGCAATATTGCTGTCAAAGGTAAGCGTATATGGTTTTGGAGGTTCTACAGGCAACTGGTTTAGGTCCTACTTAAATGATCGCAATCAAAAATGTTATGTCAATGGTCATCTGTCCAGTCAACGCGTATTGCCTTGCGGTATCCCGCAAGGGACTATCTTAGGACCTTTGCTTTTCCTTATCTACATTAATGATTTACCAAATTGCCTGACACATTCCCAACCACGTATGTACGCTGATGACACTAATTTAACATTTGCTAGCAATAATGTTGATGACATGGACTATAAGCTTAATCAAGATCTTGATAATGTCAATAAATGGCTCATAGCCAATAAGCTAACTCTCAATCAATCTAAAACAGAGTTCATGCTAATTGGGTCAAGACAAAAATTAAGCACGTTACACTCGGCCCCTTCCTTAGCAATCAATGGACATCCTGTTCGTCAAGTTTCTCAAACGGAGTCCCTTGGGATGAAGCTTGATGAAAACCTGTCTTGGAATGCCCATATCAATGATTTAATAAAAAAGATTGGTTCTGGTATTGGTGCTTTGAAACGTGTACGTTCTTTTATTCCTGCTACAACGTTGAAGCTTGTTTACAACGCTGTAGTTCAGCCTCATTTCAGCTACTGTTGTTCAGTTTGGGATAACTGTAATAAAACTTATGCTGAAAAGCTCCAAAAATTACAAAATCGTGCAGCCAGGGTTTTAACATTCTCTAGCTATGACACTAATGCCGATTCACTCTTTGAAAAGCTCAATTGGAAAACACTTTCCTTTCAGCGTAAAGTTCAAAAGGCTGTAATGGTCTATAAATCTCTTAATGGTTTAGCTCCCGACTATATGCACTCCATGTTTACTGATCGTGAAAGTGTAACTTCAATCCAATTGCGTGACACTGAGAATAAATTAGCTGTTCCTATGCCTCGCACAAACTATTTGAAAAACAGCTTTAGTTATAGTGGCGCTGTGCTGTGGAACAGTCTTCCAATCGGGTTACGGCAAGCACAGTCCCTTGACAATTTTCGAGCGGGCTGTAGAAGTCTTTTATAAATTTTAATGGCTATTTTTAATACACGGCCCTCATGGAAAGCAGGTATAGACATAACTTTGTAACCACCGTAGTTTTTGTAATATAGTTAGTTAATGTAGCCCATAATTATAATGTAAATCCTGATGAGTAATACCGTGCCAAAATAAAGTTTTAATAATAATAATATGTATATATGTATATATATATGTATATATGTATATATATATATATATGTATATATATATATATATGTATATATATATATATATATATATATATATATATATATATATATATATATATATATATATATATATATATATATATATATATATATATGTATATATTTCGCTAATTTGTGATTATTTTTGTTAATTTTATAAGTTCATTGCAGTTTTAATTTAAATTCAGCCGTTAGTGGGCTGCCTTAGTCTATGCAGACCTGCTTTAGCGGGTTTAGGCCCGCCACGTACGGTCTCCTTACTTTCGCTAGCAATTCGCCTTCCCATTGTATTCCATTAGCCAATAGCATTCAAATACACAAGACGTAAAGTGTAAACAAGGAGCGTGCGATAATCGAATAATAATACGGTATATACGTATTTAAATGGCCTTAAATGTGAACAGATCGAGTTTTCTGATCAATAGCAGTCGAAGTAGAAAATATTGAATATTTTTCCAACGAATGTACGCGATAGGTCGAAGGCTTAAATGTATATAAAGCTATTCACTGGTAACACTTGTTTTGAACTTGACGCGACTGCGTGACGGCATGTATTATATTCAATATATACTATTAACAATATATATATCATTAATAATTCATGAAGAAAACACAAAAGAAATCATGGGCTGAAGGAGTCTGTATATGTGATACGGTTTCATGTTGATTTACATAAACTTTATCTTTGATTTTCTCGGCTTAGACAACGTTAATTTTTAAAATTATTTCGCCAATGAACTCATAAGATGAGTCGTTTTCGGCTCGAGTTTGTATATCCGATACAACACGGCCGCTCATGTTGTAAATAGTACTAAGTTTCCGAACGTTCAATATCAGAGCGACTTTTGTAATTACGATTTTATTAAACTTTATAAACTGGCTAGTCATATACAAACTTAGAAACCGAAATATGCAATGAATAAATTCAGTATTTTATATAGGCTGAATTCTGTAGTCTTCAATTAGTATTTATAAATCTATTATCTACACCCGCAGTAATGTACACTGTAACTTTAAAACTTTGTCTTGACGTCTTTGTCCAGTATATTACCCGTGTTACAGTAACACCTGCAAACGCTTGTAAAGTAATCAAAACATTGCGAAATATTTTAGGTGATATTGTTCGATTTTTCTACACTGTCTGTTCAAAACAATATAGCTCGACAAATTCTAACAGTTTTACAATTGTTCCATATTGTAAATTTGTAGACTGGTATATCGGTATAACAAATATATCTCTCAGCTCTCGCATATATAATCGGTTTAAGATATGAATTCGTACAAATGAATATATAAAATGTTCAAGATTTAATAAATGTTTTGAAACGTTTAACGACCCAAGCCTCAAGGTCAAAGCCAAAGGTCAAGCCCCACAATTTTCGTGGGTAAAGCTGTGATTGGCTAATTTTGAGGAAAGGAATTCTTGGCCAAAGTAAGCATACCTTACGTGAGGGCTCAGCCCGCTAAGTAGGTATGCGTAGGAGACTAGTAGTTTACCTGTAACAACTTTTTAACTACTCGTTTCTTAGTAAATGGTAGTTAACAATTCTTAAAGGGGCCTGATCAACCACAATGCTATGCGCGCTTTTGTTTACGTTTTTCAGTTACTTTCCTCAATAATTGCCGCCATTTTTGAGGGCACAAAAATGGCTGCCTCTGGCCCACAACGTAAAAGCAACGTAAACAAACGCACGCATTGCATTGTGGTTGATTATAACCCATTTGAAGGCCTGATTCCACGGGCGTTTTCTTCGGCGAAATGCGAACAATTTCGCGCGAAATGAATTCGGTACATGCACAGTGAAGATAAATTTAGGTTTCGCGAGAAAAAAAATTCGCCTCACCTTCTCATTTCACCTTGAGAGCCTGCTCGCAGGCTAGTTTCACCAGTGAGTAGAAGCCGGTTCTATTTTAATACTGCGAAAGCGGAAAAAGTGGCCAAATTCAATAGAATCGCTCATGTGCAACCATCCGTATTTCCCAGACACAATTTCTCGCGAAGAATTTTGCCGTCGTGGAATCAGGCCTTTGAGATTGGTTAACTTTTCCACGAACTATAGTTAACTTTAACTACTTTTTATACGGCCCCAGCCCCAGGTAGTTCTCTTATACCGCAGCTGTTCACGTACTGTACACTATAAAAGTTTCTTTGTTGGTGTAATGTACTCAGGTGAATATGATGCTTGTGATGTTACTCTGCTCTGAGTGTATGTCCACACCGGGCAAGCTTGAAAAATATGCCTGTCCATGGTACAGGCATATTTTTCAAGCTTGCCCGGTGTGGATATTATATTACACTCAAAGTAACATCACAAGCATAATATAAAATTTGTTTCTAGGACCGTTCGAGATTGTATACGCATGCCAAGTTTCATCGGGTACTGATGAATATAACATTTAAACAAGAACAAGAGTTGTAGGATATTACTGCGCGCCGGAAACTCTTATCAAGTCTCATTACAATTTGAGTCAGAGTTGATGAGATGACAAGCAGGGAACTGAAAGGCTATTTTGTGTCTAAATCCTCGTTTGACCGAGGCCTTAATTTATAAAGGACATTTCCTGGGTATCACCTATGTCCGATGGTCTACAGAGGCGAGATATATTTAATACTTAATGTGAACAAGCAACTATATTGTCTGGCTAGGTTTCACAATGAATATATATCACATGGCATGTATATCGTATATCATTGTGTCATCTGAAACCGTCTTGTATTAAATAATTAAATTGTATGCATGATGCGCTATGTATAAAGACGGGAAAGTAAATAGTGAGCGTTTTTGTCAACACGAACGTGACTCGAAAATTGGTTTACTTATACCAGTCAAGAACATAAGCTTTCTTGCACGAGTGGCCGCCAAAATTAGCTATACCAATTTTCAGGTCACATTCGTTGTCATGTGTGTTTCAATGAAGATTACAACAAACTGATACAAACACAGTTTTCAATCTAGTCATCCCTCGGCATCTGACGTCGCTTGCTTATATAAAAGCTCGTTAGTGAGTTGCAAAAGCACTTTCTCTATTCGATCTAAGCATCAGTAATATGCTTGTTCCCAAACTGCACTTTGAACTAGAAGTCCATGCACAGTACCGTGGTACTGTGACTTTTTCTGCGCCGCTTTCAGACCGCTCGTGTGAACGCGTTGTCTAGAATTTATACCTCGAAGTATTGAGCAGACCTTCGTTCGTCGAAGTGTTTTGAATTATCATCACGTGCCTTATGTTCAAAAGCAAGTTTTAAGGTTGTAATTGTAGCACTCACCTTCTTGTTAAATGCTGATCAAACGCTGAATACCTTTGCTTTCGTTTTAGATATGACTTGGGATATCGGAGCGTATATTTACTCGCGGGCCTTGTCGGCTTATGGCAGGTTACTACACAACCCCAAAGGTATGCAGCAATAGTAATTTGAGCCGGAACTTGACCGTAATTTTTCGTGGAATTTACAAATAGTGAGTTGGATATGTGTAAAATTATTGATCAGTAGTTCCCGTTGAGGTTAAAAGCATCAAAATTTTACAATTGATGTAGTTTTATTTGCTTAATAGATATTTGAAGTGGGGCCATCTCTATTTTGCTGCTAACTCCTGAAAACGGGTGATTAGTGATTTTCTTTCTATTGAATTCTATTAAAGCCAAAAAATGTGAAATTTTGTATTCAATTACAACAAATATGACTTGTATCATCAGAAAGCTTATAAAAAACTGCATATAAGACGTTTAGACAGTTTTTTGATTTCTGAAATAGTTTTCGAATTATAAACTGTTAAAAACGCATTTTCAAACATCGAATAATTAATTAGAGACTTTTAGCGAGATAATGTGCCTAATTTACAGCAATAACCATTTGAAGAATACAAAAACTGTTTAAAAGTCTTTTATGTAGTTTTTTACAAGCTTTCTGATGATGCAAGTTATATTTGTCGCGATTGATTTTAAAATTTCACATTTTTTGTTGTAGTAGAATTTAATAGCAAATAATGCTAATAGCATCGTAACTCTCTAAAAAAACAGTTTCACGATGGCCCCACTTTTGCATGTTGTTCTACTCACAAAAAGATGCTACTCTGCACAAAAATCTTTCAGGCGCCGCGATGCTTTGTTTTTAATTAAACGTAAACAAAACAATTAATGAAAGGGAAAAGAGATATTAATCAGCATATCGATACTCATTCCGCAAGCGTGCTGTCTGAATCTGCGAGCGTTTGTCCTCAATACGTCTCGTAAAACGTGTCTTACTTGAGCACAGCTGTATTCAACTTACGCTTAATTAACATATTCGTGACGGATACGATCCTTGACAGGGCCGTACACAGCGGGGGAGGGGAGGCGGAGAGGGAGCAACTGCCCCCTAGAGAAAACTATATTTACGATTTTTAGAATGTCAGTGTTAATTATTCTTTGGATATTCGGGACTTTTTTCGGCATATAGGCCCTACTGCCCCCCCCCCTCCCCCCTGGTGAAAAAGTCCTGCGTATGGCCCTGATCCTTGATGCAGTGGATAGACTGCTGCTGTTTTGTTGGACTTATCAAAATCGTTTCACGGCATTGAACATGATGCATTCATTGCTTCTTTAAAAACTTCGCTCATCATTAGCTGGTTTAAGAAGTCTTGCTTCTCGGACAGTACTCAGTCACTGCGGCTATTTGTAATAAAACATCTTTGGTCATATATAGTCCGTGAGTAAATGTTCTCCTGAGTAAATACCCATAATTCTTTGACTTTCATCCCAGAAATCCTGGACAGGTACATTACCAATCTCGTTGGTACAATGGTACATTACGTGATGCTATAAAGCTCATATATGTTATAATTATTCTCGTATATGGGAAAGTTGACAGGGTGGGTTGGGATTATCCCCCTAACTGACCTTTCCACTGTAGTTGTGCTTCGTGATCAGACATGAGTCATAAGGTGGTTGCCAGAGGCGCCCCTAGTAAGCTTTCAACTGAATCAGGTTGAGCTGCGTCCTTCACAATTCAGCTTAGCTCTCAGCTGCAAGTAAGGATATATGATTAGCACACCCCCTACTTACTTACACATCCAGGGATGGATTTACTGGGGGGTGCGCACCCCCCCTAGCCTTGGCCAGGGGGGGGTGCTATTTTTCATGATAAAGCAAAAAAATAGTAGAGACAAAATGAGATTCAGTAATTTGAGTAATAACATGATGTTAAGCGAACTGTGAACAACAATTACAATTGAAATACTGTAGTCAAGCAAGACTTTGCAGTAGTGGAGCAAGTTGATGGACGGGTAAAGTCACTGGAAAGCAATTGCAACATACTCGTCCGGAAAAATTTCTTGCCTAAAAAGTTGTCGACGCTGGGGGGAGGTCATTGCTCTGCGCGAAAAAAAAATTTTCCGGAAAATTTTTTTAAATATGGGTCCCTAAAAAATTTCGCCCCTACCAGATCATGCTGGATTCATCCCTGTACACATCACCCCTCAATTCAGTCCCAATTACTCGGTATGTCAAATTTGTATATTCATTCTTTTATTTCTTCGTTTTACTTCGTTTCAATCTTTTTTACAAAGCTTGCGGATTTCAACCTCGTCCCCAGGGCCTCAATAGGCCCTGGGGACGAGGTTGTGCGGATTTCAGTTTATTGTCGCATTGTTCTTTATATAAATATAATAAATTATACTTCAAATTCTACGCTGGGTAATTGATTAAAACAGTCATTTACTTCATGTTGTTTTGTTCGAAAATGCACCGATTTTAAAAAGTCACTGTTAAAATCCAGTAATGTCCGCAGCCAGAAATTTCGAACTGGCTAAGTCGCTGCTAGAAATTTCGAACAGGCTTGTAGTCGTTGCTAGTTTAGTTGGTAGTCACGGCGACAATTATGCCAGTAATGTAAAGTGAATAAAGGATGAAGCCACAAATAAGAGCGGCGTAAGCCAAGTTTCTTGCTCTTCGTGCTGACGCCACGGCTCCGGCATAGTCGCCAGCCGCGTAACGATTTCTTGCCTAGAAATAAAGGGATGAACATTTATAGTGATCTGCATAAAAATGATGATGAAGTGAGCTGGAAATGTCTGCTAGCACCGCTGCTCGGGCAGAAAATTTCTAACAAATTTTCCTATGCCTTGCAGGAATTTTTGTCATGCTATATATTGCTAATAATGGGATCCCATATAACGTGCTTCTTGTTTTAAAATTCTAAATGCATTTTGTCAGTTCATGTGTTGAAATGCACGCTTCCGGAAACTACGTCACCTTGGCAATAGCGCCTCGTCTTCACGATTCGGACGGGTTTGAATTGGTGTCGCATACACGTAAACTCAGTCCTTACCCTAAATCTAATATTCTAATCCCAATCTTAACGTGATCCTTGTGACGTCGTTCTGGAAGAGAGTTTGAGCAAGAGAACAAAGTCGGACGACGACGACGTGGTTGACAATTTTTGCAACAATTCTAGGTCAGGGGTGAAGACAGATTAGAGATTTATGTCTAGCTGTTTATGAATGCTGACCCAAATCCTTACCCTGATCGGGACAAAACAGCGAGACATGAACCCATATCCCGTCTTCGTTTTTCTGCCTTCGTTCACAACGAATGTTTTGGCAAAATTCGTTGTGAACTTCATTCCGAACGAAAGCAGAAGAACAAAGACAGGATATAGTTACATGTCTCCCTTTTTCTTTCTGGGTCAGGGCAAGAATTAGGGTCAGTATTCAATAACCACCAGTGACGTCCAACTCCGTATGCGCAAGATAATGTGCAGACGGCAAGAATTGTCAAGTACGTCTTCGTATTTCGTTGTAGTTGCTCAAACTCTCTAATGTCAAAACTGAGTCACCTAACCTATCCATGCAACTACCATGTTGTAGGGCAAATGCATTTTTAGCCAATCTAGGACACTTGATTCTCGAAATGTTTTGGCAGAGCATCGATCACCCTGGTGGTGCCTTTTTGGGGGCATCTGTGCATGTTTACCTTAGGATGAGACCTGTATTCATTTCAATGGATCAGACCCCTCGATGCATGTTATCTAAATTAGTTTTATGTTATAGTCCTAAAAGTATTATCAGTTCTCTGAAATTGGTTTTCACTGTTAAAATATAATATAACATTCAATCTGACAACTTATTAGTGCCACACACAGGGTCCGAGTGTCGATTTATTTGATTATTTGCGGCAGAAACCTTTTCAAAAAACCTATTGCGGTTCCAGAAAGTAAAATATTTTTTCCAGCCCTGCACTTCTCATTCAGAAAAGGGAGCTCATCCCCTCACCTCAGACGATTTCAGGAGAGCAAAAATTCCAATTAGCGGGCAACAGCAAACACAAGCGACAACTGATAGCGTTAATCGATCATTTACAACAGGATTCACTCCAACTGGTAGTTGAGATTGATTCTAAGAAGGGTAAATTAATTTAATATTAATAATACATTTTAGCCCCATTTTAATTTTTTTAACGACCGGGCAAGGTCAACGCTTAATGTACTATTATATTTAAAACTACCTTTCGCCGGTGTTTACTCCATCATCAGGTTAAAAAGATCACAATTTATATTGCGCTAACATATAGTAAATCCCCCTTCCGTTTAATTACTACAGTATACTTAATTATTTATGAATTCTGTCTTCGTGACTGTTCTTATCCGCCTCCATGGGATGACATTACATGGCGTCTTCGAAATATTTTTTGTTGTAATTAAATAAAGTGCACCTTGTATCTGACTCTTCCACAGTCCCTCATCCGTTATCCGTACGCGCGGTCGCGTTAATTTATCGCATTCCCATTAAGCACCGCGCTCCCATTGTTTTTCCACTGATCTCTATTCCCAACTGAAGCGACGAGGGACGAGTCAGACCTTGTATGACTTTAATAATGGTTGTTTACGTCTGTTATTTTAATGTTCAATTTTTGTTTGTATTTTTCAACTATGCCGTGCAATATTATATAGGTCAAATTCGGAAAAAAATGTCCTCCCGGTCAGGTGGCCGATAAAGCCTTCTGAAGGAAAATTTTATTCCACTTGACGAAGATCGCACATAGCGCAAGATAAGATGTCACCAAGCTGGTGTCCCCGGAAATATGGCCCCCCAAAATTTGCCCCCCCGGCCAAATATCCTAGGACATTTGCCCCCCCCCCCCTTCCTAGGATAATTGGCCCCCTCGTCGGAAATTTGGACCCCCTTTTAGGATTGAACAAATATAAACATAATTCATGAAAGTGCATGAGTCTCTTATAAACAAATCTTGAAATTTCAGTCTTAAGAAGATAATGGCATTTTAAAACCTTGGCATTTTAAAACCTTGTAACACAAACATTCGACAACAATATATGGCTCGTCTACAATATATGAACACAAATTGAATTTTATACTGATGCGTTGACAGAGGGTATGCGGATCTCAATCTTGCTGTGGATTTAACAACTCATACAACAGACCCTTACCTGTTCCACCACAGTTGACCAATTGGTGAGTTGCGGGGAAAATACTTGCTGAATATATCCTTGTCCTTGAGGTGGTGGATATCGTGGGTTTTGAGGTGGATACCCTTGGTTTTGATATCCCCCTTCATATTGTTTCTGTGGTGGATACCCAGCCTGTTGTTGTGGGGGATAAGGGGTAGGTGGTGGTGGATAATCAGTGTTAGGTAATGGTTCATATCCGTGATATCCATGCTGTGGGGGGTGGTATCCCTCTGGGCTGTAGGGTGGTGGCTGCTCCATCTTCTAACAATGTCAATGACATAATAAAAATCCTTATAAGCCAATTTAGAGTTTGCACTGCACATCCAAATGGCGCGTTCTGTGTCGTGAGAAAGTACGGTTGAATCATAAAATGACTAAAATGTAGCAATTAAAATGGAACAATTAAAATATGCAAAATATTTGGCTGCTCAATCATTGTTTATGTTGCATTTACAGCCACATTAGAGAGGTTAAGATACCACGGTTCCGGTTTACGGGTACGGGTGATATACACGTACCCAGGGTGTTAGCCAGCATTTCAAAAGTGGCCGTCCAAAATATTTTTGTGGGCGTGACCACAATTTTTTGTGGGCGTGGTCACATGTTTTTGGGTGTGGCTGCAATTTTTTGTTGTGGAATTGTGGTGTTCTATTCGTTGAACCTTCTTACTTTTAGTTTTAGATGCACATTTCCGTCATTAAATTAGTAAAAGCACACGTATGGTATGAACCGTAGTGTAGTGTTTAGTTATTTTTTATCAATCGCCGATATTTTCCCCTTTTTTTATGCGTTTGGCTCATTTTATAGCCAACTTTACCTGGTAACTGTAATTCTAAAGCACGGGAAAAAGTATCAAAACATATACCATATGTAAAGTAAACAGCAGATAACAACCATTCGAAGTATTCAAGAAATATTACAAAGCTTGTAAATTGCTATTTAAAGAAAATATTCCCTTAGGCCGTCCATGGCCGTCCATTAAAATTTAGCCGTCCGAATTCAAAAGTGGCCGTCCGTAGGACGGTCGGATGGCCGTCTGGCTAACACCCTGCACGTACCCGTAAACCGGGAAACGACTTGTAATCTAAGAAATCCAAGATACTCCGGCGTGAGAAAACCAATCAGAGAATGGTAACTTTCGCTGTTGAGGTTCGCCATAGATTGTTGAAATCTTTGGCAAGCATATACATGTGCATTATTTATTTGGGTAAGGGGCCATTCACAAAGGATGTCCGGCCAAATGATGGATTTTCAGACCCCCCCTCCCCCCCTTGTCCGGCATTGTCCGAATTAGTGACCCCTCCCCCCGGACATCCGCCATGCCTCGCAAAAACTCACGCAACCTTGTATATATCAAGAGTAAAAAACTTTTTTACTTTTAGAACTTTTTTATAACTGTAAATGTGAACACAAAAACATATAAATTACTAATTAAAACAAAATCTAGTGTTAACCGCATAGTCAAAATGCCAATTTCACAATGGGAAGGACTGCTCAAAATAGAGGGAAAAAGAAATTTGTTTTTGAATTTTTTTAAATTTCGGACATCCGGATAGCTAAAAGCCCCCTCCCCCCCTGTCCGAGTTTGTCCTGATTTTCCAAACCCCCCTCCCCCCCCCTCCTCGGCTCGGACATCCTTTGTGAATGGCCCCTAAGATGTTGAAAATTTTTACTATTTAAACGGCCCACAAATAGTAAGCAGAAAACGCCCGTACCCGTTTGTCTTTTACGTGTGACCTTGGTTTACCGCGGGGAAACGGGTAGAAATTACGGGTAAAAATGCTGACATCAGCAAAAATTGGTTAACAAAATGGCGATACTCGTACCGTAAACCGGAACCGGGGGTATCTTAACCTCTCTAATATAACAGTCATTAAATAATTTATGCACGAGCATATTTTTTGTCTTCTGTGTAAAGCAAAATAAAGAGAGGTACACGGAATAGATTTCAGTAAGGGAGCGGTCATTAAGTATGTGTCATGGGGGGCCGGAGGCTACTTTTTTCTTGGGGGGTCATGAAGCGAAATCTTTCTTTCAAACAGGGGGTTAAGACCAATTTTATACACTTTCTGCATGATCAGAAACAATATATATATATATATATATATATATACATATATATATATATATATATATATATATATATATATATATATATATATATATATATATATATATATATATATATATATATATATATATATATATATATATATATATATGAGTTTATTAACCCGTAAAGTGGGAAGGGTGCATTTTTAATAGTAATCCACTCTCCCAAATAGAATATCTGGCATTGGCCAGAATAAAGTGTTCAAAGTGTGCATGCATACTTTCCCAATACAGATCGAAGTATCAAATTTAAATGTTAATAATATGTCTAGCACAAATCTAAACCTTAAACCTTAAACTCTAAGTGCGCAAAGCTTATATAATGGGAGCACAAGTTTCAAGCTTAGCTAGTAATTCAATATTGCAGCTACTATGAATGAATGTTCTAAGGAGATATTTACCATATCTCTAAGAAATGGGCCCCATATATGATTTCTAAACTGATTAAATTATGCTGCCATTATGCTTTGCATGCACGTTTAGAGTTTAAGCCTGTTTAAGGTTTGCATTCCCGGCTTATAAGTGTACTTTCTTTACCCAGTATTTTGCTTTACACGGAAGACAAACTATGTTAGTACGGTAGTACATAGTACACGACGACGCTATTTAGTGACAATTCAGTTATGGCTATACGTGAAACACAATAATGATGGAACAGCCGAATACATCACGGCATGAATATACATGTTATGATTCAACTGCAATTTTCCTCGACACATGCAGAGCGTCATTTGGATAGGTCGTACCAATACTAACAAAAGTTCGGTTGATAGGATTGTATGTAATGTAACTAGCTGAAAAATACAATGAGAACTCGACTTTCGAGCGAGGCTCTTCGTCGGTGAAAGCTTTATAGTTATCTTAATCCCAATCTTAACGTGATCTTTGTGACATCGTTCCGGGATAATAATATCAACACGCTGCTAACTTCCTGACGGAAGGACGTGCACCTTCGCTCGAAACGTCGAATAGACCTTATGCATAAGGTTTATTTATATATAATAAATAGACCTTATCCTTTTGAGATATGTAATATTGTGGTTTAATTTTCATGCTGATCAGAATGCAACCCTATAATATCATTGATTTGCATTGAAGGGAATCCATTTCTCGAAAGTCAAAAGTGTAAATAAACATTGAACAATTGTAATATTAAAGTGCCAGGCGGACACTGGGACTGACTTATCCAATAATGTAATCGCAGCACTTACCGTCTGCTTAAATGCAGATCTTATAATGTTGAATACTTCGATTTCTAGGTAATGATGCCCTGGGATATTGCGGCGAATATTTCACAACTTACGAGCACTTCCTGATCTTCGATCGGCTGTTGCGATGAAAGTCACGGGACAAAATTATACAACAGCTTGAGAAATCAGAAATGGAACCCTGTGTCGAGTATAATTCTATTTCTAAGTCCATATAGCAGTTTATGATGCAATGCTATTGTTGAGGTGCTTGGTTTTATTGGATCATTGATTTTGAAGGGCTTTTTTCGTGGAACATTACACGCAGGTATGACGTTTTTTATATATTAAATAGAAGCATTTTAAATTAAACTGACTTTTGACCTTTACTCGGTCCACGTCTTGGAACTAATTTTATAAGGCTTATATATTGCTATATTTTGCTCACATGATAATACTGGATACCTGCATGGTGAAGTTTGTTGATTCAGTCCTAGGACTGGATCAAAATTAATTCAGTCCTTGGACTAGATCAAAATTATTTCACCTCACTTTAAGGGCTCGTTCAGACTGAGTGCCCGGCACTGGTGTCCAATGTTCAAAATGGTTCACAAAACATGTTGAGCACAGTGCCGTTGTCGAGTACTACCTCTAGAGGTAGTGCCCGTTCTTGGGCACTGTGCCCAATTTCATTTGAAAGCGTTGTGTTCAAACTGGGAGCCAAAACAAGTGCCGGGCACCCAGTCTGGACGCAGCCTAAGTTTCACGCCAGGATACCAGCTATTTCGCCATTTTGTAGGTACCCGTCTACTTTCTGGTCCGCCTCATTTTAACCAATCAGATCACGATCCGGAAAAGCACGTAATTTGATTGGCTAAATGAAGTGATCCGTTAATCCCACCAAGCTTGGAAGAGTTTGGGTTATAAAATAACTAAATAAGGTGGCCAATCAAAATCAACGTGTTTTCCAAAAACTATATCGATAAAAACTAATCATAAAGGCCCGGTCACATTACACAACAATACGATTATTATTTTTTCTGTGTTGGTGTTGTGTACTCAGGTGAATAATATGTTTGCGATGTTACTCTGAGTGCATATCCACACCGGGCGAGCTTGAAAAATATGC